AATCTGGAGCAGCTGAAAGTTTCGGACGGCCACTTGTTCGAGGTGACAATGAAACCCGCTCCGTACTATTTTTATTACTTGGTACACCAGCCGGGGGTTGGTGTCGGTGGACCCGTTCTCATTTGCGGGTGTGCCTCGTCCTGATGAGGTGGTCATTCTTTGGAACCCGACGCTGAAGGCGTTGGTTATTGCGTGCTAGCGTCGCGGGTTGAGATGGCGGCGTACAGAATAAAACTTCGAGATACAGTTGCCGTTGATGCCCTGCAGCAACGCGGGAGACCGGAGCAAGAAAAACTGAATCCGGCGGTCGAGCGTTTGGTGGCGCGACGCCCGGACATGGACATGAGCCTCGAGGAGGAGGCACTGGCGCGATCTGCATCGTTTGACAGTGCTGTCTATTCTGCGGTTGCCACTGGCTTGGAGGAACCGCATGAGCGGCGTCTGCAAGGCATCATCAGCAAGCAGGCACCGAATGCGCTCCGCCGTGGTTTACGTCATGGCGACCCTGAACGTCGAGCCTCTACGGGTCACCCTTGAGCCAGGAGCGCGGCCGGCGCCCGGCCTTGGGTTTGCAACCCGCACGGCTGGCGGCACATAGCGTCTTTGGTCGCGTTGGGGTTGATGTTCCTCATTATGCAGGCCTTGTGAGCCAGCGCCGTGGTGGCGACTCCGAAGGAAAGGGGAATACCAGTGGTGAATAAAATGTGCGGTTGGCAAAGAGGAGAAGACGCCTGATGTTTTGCCGAACCCTAAAGCCAGTATGGCTAAGCGCAGTGCGATCAAGATCTGTGGGGGCTTGGATCGGTTTCAAATGTATTGGCAGTGTCCGTTGTCTCAGGACGCGCAGAAAATCTTCACGATTGCTTCACCTGGCGGGCCCTACAGGCCTGAAAAGGTGCTGCAAGGGGTTTTGAAAGCTGCACTGTATTTCCAGGCCACCCTTATGCGCATTCGGGGGGAGCTCAACTCCTTCATCCGCGTGGACGATATCGTGTATTGGGAGGTGGATAAGGACGATCTGGTTGACACACTCGGCCTGATCCTCTGGAGGAGGCCGGCGTTGACGTGGCCGCTCACAAATGCATGTTTTATTAGACCAATATCACTTGCGGGAAAGTCGAGCATGATCTCGGGGCGACTCAGCGGCCTTGCTTGAATGCAGTAAGTCCTGAGACGGCTAGGGAGCTGACCCAGTGAAATCGATACCGCTATGCCGTCGAAACAAGTCGTACGTGATACACAACAAACAGCGCGAAAAAAAACTCAACGCGCTTGCTGGACCTGCCAAGCCCTTTTGCGACGGCGGTGGGGACGACGACTATGGGTGGTGAGAGTTTGTTTTGCGTGGGATGAACGGACTATGGACAGGGCTCTGCTAGGGGCCCAGATATGGTAGTTGGAGATGTTAATGGTACCCCCTGGTCATCCCATCAGCGTGGCCTGTATTGACGTCTGATGATAATTATACACTCTGTTTACCATCACCAAGGAGGTGAACCGACCAGCCCCCCGAGGCCACGGGGGGAGGACACTGGACTTGGGCCTTGCCTGACTTCAGGCATGTCTACAGCAATTGATAACTTAGTCTGGCCGACCAGGGTCAGTCAGAGTCAAAAATTTTCAGGATTCAGGTTGACTGGGCAGCCGTGAGCTGTTTATTGATGCAGAAATTTTTCGTTCGCGAGACACTAGCGATGACGCATGCCGAATCTCTCCAAAAAGGTTTGGCATCATACACCTATACTTCCATATCCGCGATTTTTCTGCGTTCTTGGCTAGTAGTCAGAGCCCAGTTTGTTATCAAGCTTTTCAGGACCTACTAACAAGTAGCGATATGCTTTGGGGGCGTTGTGGACAGGGCTCTGCTAGGGATCCTGATATGGTAGTGGGAGATGTTAATGATACTCCCTTGTTATCCTATCAGGGGGGTCTTTATTGACGTCTGATGATGGCAGTACATTCTGTTTGCCATCACCAAGGACGTAAACCGACCAGCCCCCCGAAGCCACGCGGGGAGAACACTGGTCTTGGGCCCTGCCTGACAGGCGTGTCTTCAGGACGTGACGTGTTTTGAATACCAAATCAAGCGAGTGGTTCGTAGGTGCGATTGATGGTCTAAGCGCACATGAGAGAGCTGAGCATCGTGACGCCCTTGCCACCTTGCAGCGGTTTTCTGAAAGAGCAGTGGCCAAGGTCGGGTACGCTACAAGATACTGCTGGGAGCGACCGCATGCCACCATTTCATTGACGCACGCCCGCCCCTACCCGACCTTGACCGTCTTTCCACCGCGTGCACCCGATGTTGGCTTTTCATCCCCCGGAAGAGTGGCCGGTTTTTCTTTCCCCTACCCGAAAATGGCTGGGCTGTTCGACCAAAACCCATGCACACAATCACGGGTCATGTTGGAGTGGGCGTCGGCCAATCAGATGGTATCGTTCGGTCGCTCCCAGCAGCGTCTTGTAGGGTGTGGGCAGGGCTCTGCTAGGGGCCCAGATATGGAAGTTGGAGATGTTAATGGTACCCCCTTGTTGCCCCATCGGGGGGGCCTCTATTGACATCTGATGAAAATAATGCACTCTGTTGATCATCACCAAGGAGGTGAACCAATTAGCCCCCCGAGGCCACGGGGGAGGGCACTAGTCCTAGGCCCTGCCTGACTTCAGGCGTGTGCAAAGTTGTCGATAACTCAGGTTGACCAACCAGGGTCAGTCAGGGTCAAAAATTCTTAAGGTGTCAAGTTGACTGGGCAGCCGTGAGCTGTTTGTTGATCCAGAAATTTTCAATTTCATGCTCTGGGGGCGTTGTGGACAGGGTTCTGCTAGGGGCCCAGATATGGAAGTTGGAGATGTTGATGGTACCCCCTTGCTGTCCCATCGGGGGGGCCTCTGTTGACGTTTGATGACAATAATACACTCTGTTCATCATCACCAAGGAGGTGAACCGACCAGCCCCCCGAGGCCACGGGGGAGGGCACTAGTCCCAGGCTCTGCCTGAATTCAGGCGTGCCTACAAGGGATACCCGATAATGGCCGTCGTCGGACCGGGTGTACCCGATTTTGGCCACTTCTCTTTCTGAAAACTCTGCTTGGTTTGAGATGGAAGAGCACGTCCTCGATTAAGCAGTGCCTGCATTGTATGGATTCCACGGCTGAAAAAGGTGCCTCTCCCGCCGGGGGAGAGACCGTCCACGGCACGCGTTGTGGCGAACGATTGTTCATTTTTTCATTTTGACTACCTCTATGTGTGATCCAGTGGCTCCCCGGGGGACGATAGCTTGGACGAGGAGGAAGAAGGGTTCAAGTACGTCTTGCTCGTGACATGTCCGCCTGCACAGCATCTCTTGACGTGGTGTAAGATCTTGGATGTGCCGGAAGTTTTGGTTGACCGCTCCCTATTTCAACAACCACATCATGGCTGCCCGTGAGACTAGTTGGTGTTGACCGGAAAATTTTGGTCAACAACTCTCGATGATCTAACGGTACGTGCAAGCGCATGATGTGCGAGGTGGTTCTTACGCTCAAGGACTGATTCAGGAAGAGAACAGGAGTACTGGTCTGGGGTAATCCGGTGTCAGCTGTGACGTGGGCCTTGAAAAGCGCTTTCCGCGAACGGTACGGTTCGATACCGTACTACGTCATGTTAGGTAGAGTGCCGCGCACCAGCCTTTCAACTTTGGCGTCGTCCACCGGCGCCTCATGTAAGGTGGATTTCCTGGATGAGAAGGCTCTGCGGTTGAAGAGGTGGCATGTCTTCGAGGCCCAACGTAACCTGCACAAGGGAGTTCTCGAGAAGGTGCAGGCGAGTCGGAGTAAGCACCGAGCGTCTGCGCGTGTTGGGAGCCTACGTGACTTTGTGGTGGGGGGCTACGTGATGGTGGCACGCTTTCACCGGCGTTGGTCAACACAGAAGCTTCTCATGACCTGGACGGGGCCGTGTAGGATTGTCGCCGTTGGGAGACCGCGTGTGTTCGGAGTTCAGACCATCTTTTGTTAAGAGAAAGTTCGGGATGTCGACGTCGCGCGCTCGCGGTTCTACCCCGATGCCACTCTCGGGATCACGGCAGAGCTTTTTGAGAATACCTTCACTAGGGGGGGTTCGAGATGGCGGCGATCGTGGACATGTCGGAGGCAGAAGACGGGAATTGATGTGGAAGTGGAATCGGGTGTGACAACAAGGAAGAGAACACCTGGGAAGCACTGTCAAAGGTCTGGGATGCCTGCCTCGACGCAGTTTGTCAAATCTGCGCAGCGGCTGGGTCTTCCGAGGGTCTTCGTAAAAAAAGTTCGAGACCGATAGGCCTACTATTGATCGAAAATCGGGGTCCGTCGGGGGGGAAGATGTGATTTGGGGGGAGGGCGGAATCTAATGCCTATATTTTTTCGTAAGGGGCACCGCGGATAGAAAAATATCGACAGTAGGGGGGTCAATGACTTATGTTCGTGAACGAAGCCCCCTTCATTAATTCCTACATGTCACAGAAATCGAAACTGTCCTCCGGGTGGGGGGGGGGTGTCCGGAAAATGTTTTCACGTGGACCCTCAAAGAGGTTCGGGATCAGTTGAAGCAACAATACGAAATTGCTTTGTAATCCATCGTGTTAGTTGAGCCGACGGCCGTTTTGTTGGAAAGTAAACAGAGAGAAGTGTTAAGTGTACTATCATGTTCAGAGGTCAATAGAAGCCAACATGACGGGACAACGAGGGGGTACAACCAGCAGTTCTAAGTACTACATATCCAAGCCCCCAGCAGCGGCCGGCAACAGGTTGTTTGGTGTAGATGAACTAAAAGGTAAATTATTGAAGACAAGGTGACCATCGAAACCTCGTCATTTCATCGATGGACCGGAGCGCCATATGCCCTCAGATGATCCCCCGAGGCGAGGCACCAAGTCGTGAGGGGGAAAGTCGAGCCACCAAACCCGCCGTGGGGTAGGATAGAGAGAGTAGAGAGGAAGATATTACTGCTGTTGAGTGGACAGAGGCCTCCGGATGCAATCATCAGATCCTGATCCTACGACCCAAGCCCCCAGCAGGCTCGGTCTACAACGCCGCCAAAGCACTGTTCCGGACACAAACATGTACCTATGCAAACTTACCCAACCGCGGACGTAAAAAACTACGCTCACCCCGCTATTGGGACATGAATAAAAACCCAGTCGTCCTACATGTATTTTGCAAATAAATGGTGCGGGTTGGATCATGGGAAGCATCTGCATGGCCTTTGACTGTTTCCGATTGTGGCGCAGATGTTACGGGGCAGCGCCAACGAAGATTGTGGGTCGAAAGTTCCGCACGATGGAGACACAACACTTTCCAGCGAAAACAAAAATCTCCATAACATGGAAACAGAAGACATGAACGTATCATTGGTACCTTATCGGCCTACATGGGAATAAATACGTTCGCATCCGATCGCCCCGGTGGTCCAATGGTATCCTCTGACACCGCTAGTTGTACACAGGTCGTGAGTTCGAATCCCCACGTGACGAAGCATTTTCTTACCAAATTCAGGGAGAACACCAAGTACAGCTTCTGACCCTCACGTGAGTCAAGCTCTCGTGAGTATTGTACCAACTTTCGAGGTTAGCGACCGTTGACGAGGGAGGGAAAGGGATGAGCTGGATCTCTCCCGCGATAAAAATAATTTTCACAAGTCAACAAATTCACCCAAGGAGGAAGGTGGGGCACGTAAATCAACAGGAAGCAAAGAAAAAAGCCCTTGTGATTATCCCCTCGTAAGTGACCCTGGATAGTTGTAGTTGTACGAACAACACACACCTGAAAAGTGTAGTACACGTCTCACCACAAAAAATGGGGGGACTGTCGCCATGATAAATAGGACGAAAACACGCATACACACATCTCATGCGGCATGCACACGCAGGAGTCTTTCGTTCAGAACGGTAGTATCCATATGGGAGACATTGCTCACAACAAAGAATGGCAGGTTGAGCGGCGTGTCTTACATCGGCACCTGCGTCAACGAATGATGATATCTTGCTGTAACGTGTCAGCTCATGCGAGCAACAAACATTCTTCAGTAAGATCTGGAATACGTCTTGATTTCCTTCAGTATTGCTGACGTCGAAACAAGATCTTTACTGAATGCCGGCGGGCGCCGCCAGCCTTTCCGGATTATCTCTTGAAACCTCGTGTAGTACAGAAGAAGCTGAGTCAGCACCTGGGATTGAGGCAGTGGCACAACGCCGTTAATATACATACGTGCCGACATTGATGTAAATTACCATAACTTTGTGTATCGAAGGGCGAATGAAGCAGAGCACATAGGAGAACGAAAAAAAAAAAGAAACAGCCAAGCTTAGAAACACGGTTCAGGTGTACGCTTGAGTCTGCAAGGAGTCCATTGTTTCCTGATGAATTCCCCTCCTTCCCCTCTGAGGCAACCATCCACAATCTACCCTGATCCACCCTGGTTGGTCGGCCTGATATCTGTAGCTATGCTACAAAAACGTTAGATGCGCAACCCATCACTTTTTCAACGAAGATCCTAAATTTTGCCGGCCAGTCGGCGGTGGTTCGTCGCGCACTGAAGGTCAAATCAAAAGCACTTAGGAACGTCACGCTCAGGACTTGCTCAAAAACCGAAACAACCAGAGGATTGGCAAAAGATGGTGTACTTGCATTTGAACGGGGATCGGAGAGGTCGCACGGGGGCACGTTTCATTCACTCTTTGCTGGCTGTGACACATCCACTTCCGGCGTGACTATGCGTGCAACGTGCAACTGCTTGAGGCGCCCTACAAAAACGCGATTGATCGCAGCGCTTGATTTGCGTTGTGCTTCATAGTACTCAGGCATCATCTGCTGCTGCTGAATTGGCGGTGATCGGCAAACTGTGACAACTTGAGCGCGCAGAAAAAAAACAGGTGCGGCAAACTCTACCGGTACATCTGTACAATACTGCTGTATCATCACCGTATTGAAAACACGTTAGCTAAGAGGCACAGTGGACTTCCGAAGAGCTACCGCACAACGCCACAAACTTCCATTCCACCACGAGATGACATTAAAGGTAAGCAACCAGGCTCAACCGGGCTTGCTTCCCTCACTTATTGTTACATACGGCACAGCAACATGGATTTGCTTCCCCTGTATTCCAAAAAACGATTTATCACAGCTCGCCTCCGTGTGGGAAGAGCACACGGAGCCTGCGCATGGCAGTAACAAGCCGTTGAAAACTTATTCAGCGTCACACAGATCGCAGAGTTGGCACGGGGGTATTTGCGAAAGCAACAAATGGTTGATTTTCATTTCTGCCCGGGGATCGGAGAGTTGACACGGATTCAACACGTTGGCACGGGGGGGCGATTAAACTCGGTGCCAACCCGCATAATTTTATGATAAATATAAGAAAAAGAGCACAGCTTGTTTTGGCCACAGCTCTGAACATCACGATCACGATGATGAAACAAGAAAGAGGAATCATCATCAGGCCAACAAGTTCGACAGAGTGTCCCATCGATGATTCTTTCGTGGCTCATTAAACGGGTGCAATAGCACGATCACCTGCTTCAAAATCTCCATGCCATTCCTGAAGTTGCTGAAGAAAGACAATACATCCTGGTTGATTGCCTCGATGCCGCTTTTCCACGACGCCGCGAATTCCCGGACAAGACCTTCAACGGTGGCTTCATCCAACTCTGCACCTTCGAAATACGAGACAAGATCGAGTGAAGCCAAGAAGAGAGAAACAAAAAATAAAAACTCGCAAGTAAAGCTTCACTGTGGACTTACGGAGAACAGCAACACACCGAGCACCGAACTGGGAGATACATACGCTTGCAAATGAATCTCCACATTAATGGAAAGCATTGCTCCACCAGAAAAAACATGCGAGGGTCACGCCGTACAGTGGGTTATCATTTCGGCAACAAATTCGCTAAACGTGCTTCGACTCCGGTAAGGTCCGTTCTCCTGAGACAGCGTTGGGAATCTGCGAGAAAACGCACAAGCTTCGACACTGCACTATCGGAAAAGCAACAGTTATATCCTTTAAACTTCTTTCGACTGCAAGACAGTCAGGTACCAGGTGGCGTGCCTGTGCTACGGTAAATACCAAAACCTGTACCTGAAGAAGGTAAAAAAGGCATTCGCTTGAAGCTGTAGGACACACATTGGGTCTGTTTGCGCCTTCAACCCGCCAAGGATAACAACTCACCAGTCTCCCCTGAGCTCATGGCTGCTTCTGTTTGTTGAACGAACAAGATAAGTCTCTTGTACTTTTCTTTCAGCTCCTCCTCAACAAAGAAATCTCTTTGCCGAACAAGTAGTTCCTCGAACCTAGCGGTTTCGTCGGAAATTATCCTTCGCTCTTGGAACACGCGAAGAACCTGTAGTCGACCAGCGATGGGATAGTAGATGGGATAGTGCAACTTTGTTGAGCAGCGACTTTTCACCGTTCTAAGAAAATAAGTAAGAAATCTTCACACATGACCAAGATTACGGGATTATATCGGGCTTTAGCCATTGCCATCTGCTTCCTCTCAGAAGCAAACAAGGCGAGCGCTTGAAACAAAAATGCAGTTTTCAGAACCGCCCACATGCACACGAACAAACAAGCCGCCGTAACTAGATGTATCCCACGCTACTGTAGCCAGCAACTGGCCTGTGAGAGCGCCCTGGACAGGAGGTTCCCGTGAGCACAGTCCTTCCCCGCGGTGGACTTCGAAAGTTTGGACGCGACATATTACTACTAAGTCAATTCTTTGAACATTCACCTCGTGATAGTTGTTAATGAGGAAAACCACCTGTAGCTTGTTGGATGGGAGCTGTTCCGCCATCCGCTGGACCAGCTGCACAACCTGCAGGTACAGAACATACCGTTGACATCGCATCCGAAAACATGGGTGGTTGATCACGACAAATGGAGACACTACTGTAGACACAAAGAAGGCTCGGCTCTCCAATAACATATGTTTTCTCAAGTGGAGCACCCAGAATATGGCGCGCATGTACATCTGGCACTCAGACTCAGCAACACCTACTTTGTCAAGTGTTCACGCACGTAGCAAGAATAAAAAACTGTCATCTGGGGCACGAACTTTCAACCAGCTGACACCCAAGGAGGCGGAGAGTCTGCGGGCAACCAGCTGGTGTTGTGAAATAATTCGTGAACGGATGTTGTGGGTACATGCGCCTCATCTTCCTCTAGCGCGGGAAAATGACGCAGATCTTCGACCTCACCTCCACCCGCAACGTCCCCAAGTCGTTCAGAAGCATCTCTTCGCCTCCGATCCCAACCGCAAGGTCATCTAGCCCACTATGTAATGCGAGTAGTGAAGCTGCGAAATGGGCGTAGCGCCGCGTGACGTAGTGCGGATGTCGCTCGATCACCCCCATTCGCTTTGGGTTCGCGGCCTTGACGCTGCGATCGATGCCAACAAGGTCAAGCAGGTATTCAGACAAGGTAAGGACCGCAAATCGAGACTTATCGGAAAACATGGAAGCCACCTGCAACATGTACATGCTTCAATTGTTTCTACCTTTTGAGGTTGTTGTCGAAGATGGTCTTGAAGCGCGGCCACAGCAACATATTGACTCGGTCAAAGAAGCTGTCTAGAACGGGGACCCGTCGTCGCTGCATAACCATCGAGTGCGCGTGGGTGATCTTGATCATGAGGAGAAGCCCGATGCAATCGCAGCAGCCGGAGAGGTAGCTTTCGAGATTCTCGATGCACAGGGATAGCGTCCTCGCGAAGATCCTGTTGAACGTGTCGTGAGACTGCCCCTGCGTGAGAGTGAGAGTTGGCAGGTAATGGCAATCAACGTTCACGTACAAACGGTGAGGCGGGCACAGAGACCAACCTTGCTGGCTTGCATGTTTGCCTATGGAAGGCGCATTGGGAGCAGAAATAGCAGTTTGCGCCCAGCGTACCATTACCTTTGACTGACATCGTAAGCTCGTTCCATGTGGTCAGTCGGTAAATTTCGGAAGGTATTTTCACGCCGACTGCACATTGAGGTACATACTGACACGAGCCGAACCAGGAAGCTCAGGGACGACCTTTTTGGGAGAAGTAAACCCGTGCGTGCACATACAAATCGTATTTCACGAAGCCTGCATCGCGGGTAGGATCCCCAACAAAATACTCAACAACATGCGTGGGACAGCACTTCCCGAAATACAACACTCGGAGTGATGGTCTCGACATCATGTGCAAGACACGCAAGCATACCTTGAAAAACTCCATTGTGAAGAGGTATTCGCTTGTAGCACTATCCATGAGGTGCTTGAACACAGAGCGCATAATGGCTTCATACGGGAATTGGCGGCCTTCTGCCAAAGCCACGTGGACGAGAATGGGTCCAGCCTCCACGGTATCCAGGATGCTGTCTCGATCTCCAATGTTGAATCCATCCCCACGTTTGTTGGAGTCTGCTTTGGCTGAGAACATGCTCCTGGCCGCTGCATCCTGCAGGTGCAAAACGGACGAAGAAAGCAGCCCTCAGCTCCATGTTTTGTGCAAACAAAGGAGTATCACTAGACGATAAGCAATAGGCGGATGTGAGAGAATTTTGTAGCATTGCTGGTGAAATCTCGGGAAAAAATGACAAGTTTAAGTCAAACGTGCGGGACAAGAGAGGGTTACACGATCGGTGGCGTGCCACATGTACCGGGAGTGCACGTAGGTTTGTGGCGGGGAGGGTAACTCGATTTTCGTTTCGGCAGCTAGCTGCATCTGTGCCTCGCAATGGGGACTGGGTACGTTGGAGCATCCATGACCAAAAGGGAAAGGTACTGAACAGGGAGAGGGGGGGGTGTACTCATAGTCGCCATGCCATAGTCGTTTGAGCATTGACCTTGCATCCCTACACAGCCGGTACGGAGCACGCCGGGTTCTCACCGGACCAGGCTCTCACATCAAGGGCGAAGCGCCGTTGGTTATTCGGTGAGTCGCATAAAGGGTGCGCTGCATCCTGCCAAGGGTGTTCCGCATCTTTGCTTACTTCCTTGAATACGGATGACAGCTGCGAATGACTGAATCTATTTCTGGTACGTTCACTTCCAGAGGCAGTTGTAAGCACTGTGTTAATGCCTCGAGGGTGCTTGGCCAATTTAACACAACGTGGTGCGATCATCTCACGTAGAAACGGCGAAAGACGCGCCAAACCAAAACCTAAACGCGGAAACCACACCGTACCTGAAGCGGTCCACTGACAGTAATACCTCCCCTGCAAAATTTGCGTGAAACATTGTTAGAAACGATACACTTGGCATGTCCGGTGCCTCGAATACTCGAGCATGTGGCCCTGGCTAAACTTCGTATGCCCGGGTGAATGTGCGAGTGCCAGAGCTACGGCAATCACACCCGCGCCAAGGCATCTGATCAACCTACTTAGCAAATCCTGCGCACCTCCACAGCAATGAGGTCGTGTCGATTGGCCAACTCCATCTCCAGCTTCATGAGTTGCGCATGGTACGCCCTGAACAACGCCGAAATCGTGCGTCCCATGCTTTCGATGTACACGACGCGAATTTCTTCGGCTGCTTCAGGAACATTGTCGTACATGAACTGCATTAGATATTTGTACCTGAGGGGGGGGGCGTGAACGTTACACACATGACCTTCAACGTACTTAGCGCACACAGTACCAGCAAGCAAGGACTGGCTACTCACAGGCAGAGCCTTACACCCAAAAAACATCTCTCTCTCACTACATGCAGCCGCATCTTGTCAACACTTACTTGAGCAGGGAGTTCTTCTGGATGATTTGCACGTTGGTCTTTGGCCTTCTCAGCTCGCCAATCTTTTGTAAGAGATAGTCGCGAGCCTTGGCACAAGCCTGGGGAGAAGCCCCGCCATGTCCGCACGCAAAAACCGAGTGAAGGGAAACATGAGTCTTCAGCGCGACTACCTTATTTACCGGCCTAAAGTGGTGCACCTTTCGCTGCCGTGCTCTGCACTCGTACAAATCAGCCACGACGCACTCGTATATAACACGGCTGCTCATTTTTCTCGAGCGTGATTCACCCTCGGTTAAACCCCTACAATTGACTACTGTTAAATCGCTCAGTTGCCCTACTCCCACCAGTTGACACGCTAACTTCAAACCTTTGCTTTGAGGTTCTCTAGGTGGGGCTGTACTCCTTTCGCCGCCATCGTGCTTGACGGGGGCATTTCCAGGCTGGAACCGTCAGATGCTGGCTGGGTCTGCCCGATGTACTTGATCTGCGTGGGATGGAGGGAAAGTGCGTCGTATTCGGTCAAAAGATTGCATCGCAAAAAGCAGCGCATCACCGTGATACCACCGTCCAAGACGCGAGAGCTCGGGTGCATCGTGAAACATTCGATTCTTAAACATCAGGCACGTGAGTCACCTTGTTGTTGAGCTCGATGACGTACTCCAAATAAGCGTCGTTGACTTCATCTCCACATATTGAAGTAACAAGTTCCGACGTGACAACGACATTGCCCAGAAACTTGCCCAGGTCTTCCTCTGCAGATCGCAAGTTTTTGAGTTTGATGTTCATCGATATGCTCTCGTCCTGTGGTGGGGGGGTACGGTTCCGGTTGGTGGGAAATTTCTTGAAGAAAGGGTTGCTTGTAATACATCTCATACATCTCAGGGCCGTGTGTACCGTGGGGCTCAAACGAAGAGTCTGTTCATCGAGATCGACATGATTATTAAGGTGAAACACGATGAACTATTAAATCTACATACCTAGCTTGATCTTGCGACTGAAGCGTGCTGCTCTTTCGTTAGTCCATTTTTTTTGCGGTATACATGTTTCAACCGTTTCCTGCCATTCTTTCGGCTCCCGCACGGGGCAAATGTAGCGGGCACGACCCGAGAGTCTCGCGCCACGCGGCGCGCTGTGTCGGGAACTGCTGGCGTTGGAACGTCGCTGGAAATCAAAGAATTGGTTCTCTCGGTGGTTCCGGTCGGCTCTGTTTTCTCATTTGGTTCCCGCCTACGTCACAACCAGCTGTGGTCATAAAATGAAAGACCATCTGGCAGCGGTAGCAGTCTCCACCTCCCGCAACTCTCGCCCTTCTTTCTTTCATTGTTCCTGCAGCTCCCGGACGGGAATGATGTACGCACAGTGCGCCCCGCGCGTAGCGCGCGCGCTGTGTGCACTGCTGTGAGATACGACAGCTACTACCCGCACGGACACGGACACTTTCGTCCCCAACCAGATACGAGCACTTGCGTTGCAGGCCGTGGAAAAAAGGGCCTTTCTTTTAATGGTCTGACAACACACACGATAGCACGGTGCCCCCTATACTCTGTTTTACTCGGGTTTGAGGTTATTTTGGAACAGCTCCAGCTGTAGTACCGATCAAAAATTCTACATCACGGCATCGCAATCTGTGGTGCTCAAACTACACTAACGCCAGTGATTTTCAGGTATTTTCTGGACCGCGACAGCGCTGCAAAGTCTGGCCGGAGGCTCCGTGACGACATCAAAATGGATACGTGGCCGTCTTTTGTTCCACGCGCAAATTGCGCCGCTGCCAACTACTCGAGTTTAGAGGCACTTAGGTGTCGATTCTAGGTGACCTTTGCAGACCCATGGAGGGCGATGTGATGCTGATAAAAAACAACTAGTTTAGTGCCTTGAGCTATGTGGTTATCCTTCTACCGGGGGCGAAGTCACGAAGAACGTAGTCCGGCTTTCGGACCGCGACGGCCTGCGGAAGTTTGCCACCGAGAGAGCTGAAAAACAGGGGGTTCGCAACAGTAACCGATCGGCATGATGAAGCAAATATCGAGCTGAAAGCAAAATCGCGGCGCGAAAACTGCTTGCGGACGTAGGTTGGAACTATGTTGGACTGGTCTGCCAGTTTCATGGAGATCCGCGGTCTGTGCCACTAGTACCAGTGGTGACTGACAGGGTGACCTGGGGTGGGCTGAGCAGCAATAATCCAGAGGGGTTCTGGAAAATTGTGGAGGTACCCAGTATATTGTTGTCGCCATATTTTTGTCATCTTCCATGAGCTGCAACGCAGGTTGAAGTATGCCCTTTCTTTTTTTGGATCCGATACTTTTTTTGGGAACGAACTTCAACTCACGTGTGTGCGAATCGGTACCGCAGCATGTATCTAGCTACCCCCGTATAGCAACACATACATACTCGTTCGTATGTCTACCTTTTGTACAGCACTTGCGAGATGGTACACAAGCACTTCAAGCCATGCATAGTGTGTTAAGATGGGCTACTGCTGTAGCAGTGCTGCTGCTGCTGTATAGATAGAGCCAAGCTGTATAGATAGAGCCAAGAGGGGAAACATATCTTCCAAAAAATGGGAAACAAACAAACAAACGCGGTTTGCTAGATTCCGGCTGTCTGCTGATGTGCTGCTGCATTCATTGCTGTAATCCTACACGGCCTTAGCGTCAACCAGACTTACAATTACACACTGAACAGACACGGCACATACAATCAAAACCGCCGTGTCGTTCCCATGTGTGTGCCCCGGATCAGCGCTGTGCAACCAGGCGGTGTGATGACGCACTTTCAATATCAGACTGCGAACCTTCGAACCTGGATCTATGATTCTTTCGCTCTCCCACCGTAGACAGTCGTGTATGCACATGCACACATCAGTATCTTATCCGATCCTCGATCTCTAGTCGTACAGCTCTGCATGACGTTGCCAAGTAGCATCGCATAACCTGCTAATGTATATGGGAAGTGCAATACGCCAGGACCGGGGGTTGCAGCCTGCCCGCATCTAGTTCTGCTGTAAAAGAAAGTTTCATATCAGTCGTGCAGCTGTAATAAACGTTACCGCATATATTGGGATTTATAATAGCAATTTTGCTCCCGGAGGGAGACTTACAACAAGGTCATGGGCCTCCCAGACAAGTTTGTGAATTTCCGCCGCACCGTATGTATGCGTATCACGCGTGCGAGGAACCCACGGATTCATTGTAGTACTCGGGGTTTGTTACGGTAAAGTCGTCGACATCCACTACAAAACTAAATCTACACTTGCCGATATTGTTTACAACTTCAATTGCAACTTCAAACACTTCCTTTTCTTTATCTGCGGGTATTACGCGAGCCCGGCAGCCCGGTAGGGGGGCGAGCGAAGCACCCGCGTCTTTCACTATCGTTAGTTGTCGCCACACAACGGCAGCGTGTCGATACCGTAGCACTGGGGGAAAATGTCTCGACATATACGGTGGGTATGTTGTACTAAATGTAAAAAGCTTCCGGCCCGCTCCATTTGAATGAATCAATCAAGAGATAACGCTGCGCTCTCCAGCAAGAAACGTTATTTCTCTGGCCATTTCTGGTATCCCATTTACCTGCAAATGTTTGATCTCGTCGCTAATTCCTCCGAGATCCGCCTGGAAACCCAGCAGCATTTCCTGCATACGGGCCAGAATGGCATCACAGCCTTGGATCTGTGCGACAAAAACGTGAACCAAAGGGCATTGGTGCGTCGTGTGCTATAGAAACGATGTACTTGCTGAATCTTGCTGAATTGGTTGGCCAATCCACTCAAGCAGGGGGACCCAGGCCCTATTTGTAATCTTGATGCATATTTCCTGTACAGATGCCCGCACGCAGAAAACCATGGTACGACGGATATCATTCGAAGACATTTACAGTTTTGTAATTTACATGGTACATCAATCTGCAAAGACAACATATCCCGTTTCACTGTGGTTATATCTCGAACGGGTAGTCTTTCTGTGTTTGTATACTGTATTGTTGTTCCTAATACATGTACCAGGCACGTAAGTCACGAGAAGGCAAAGATGCTCACAAACCGAACAAGAACATTTAGGGTAACGTCCTGTTGAAGCAGTACAGATGAATGTGATCGGACGCCTCGCTCACCTGCTGGTGCAAAGACAGCACTTCTGCGCTCTGTGCTTTGTATCCTTCGACGCTATTGTGCTCCACCTGAGGCCGGGGGCGTTATGGGTGCATGTAGCACACGTCAGCGAAGGGCGTGAGCGTCGCGAACAGAAAACGACTGCTAAGGTAGATAGAAAATATGAGGCCTGTCTATTTACTTTTCACTGACTCCATGTCTTCATAGAACATGACATCATAGAAACCACATCTGCTGCGTACATGCACTCAAGGTACGATTTTGAATGCTCGCCACATATCGCAACAGGGAGAGTGCTATCAAGTGGAAGATCTCACCTCTCGAAGTTCGAGGTCAATGTCTCTTGCATACCCTCTCAAATCGACACCATCTCTTAGAGCTTGGCGGACAATATCGTCCTGCTGAAACTGTTCCAAGTCCTCGTCAATGCCGGAGAAATCAATCTCATCGCCTTCCATCACGCTCAGATGCCGCACCAAGCTGAGGTGGTATTATACCGCAGTACTCGAGAAGGCCAAGAAGCGGCAGTGAAGAGAGCTGGATACAGTGTAGGTCAGCAGTTGGGGGTTCAGCCCATCTAGCCACTGCACTAGACTCTGCACGGCTACCACAGGCTGCAGGGGGCGGCAGCATAGCTGGGGTAGGGGGCGCCGTGGGTAATTGTTCCAAGACCAATAACCAGAAACGGGTATACCCGAGTACTTTGTCACCACTTTAGGGTACAGTTAGAAATCAACACGCTTGCGCCCCCAGGCTGTCCGCTGATTGGCCGAAAAACATTGTATCCATTTCTGAAGAAACCTCCTCCATCAGGTACAAGTTCCTCTGGAATTAGGACCCTCTGGTGTGACCGATATTGGTTAATGGTGTACCCGGACGAGGTCAATTTTGTACCCAGAAATCAAATGGTCACATAATCCCGGCGCCCAACGCTCTATCTAGCATTAAACCCGCAGAAAAAAACGTGTGCCGCACATACCGTGTACCACACATATCCGGTCGCCCCGGTGGTCTAGTGGGTAGCCTCGCAGTCTGCTGAGGACCAGGTCATGGGTTCGAGTCCCGGCAACGAGAGTTTTTTTCTCACTATAAACCCTGGTCTAGGATGAAAGCGACGCGCTGCAAAGCTCGTTTGTTAGTAAACCATAATCGACTTCGTAAGTCGCGAGGGAAGGGATTGCTGTACCCTTCTCGCGATAAAAATACCTCAGGCATGAACCGCAGGAGGGGGTCCAACCCCCCCCTCCTATGTGACCCCGGTTGGGTCGTCTAGCTAGTAGAAGTGGAGGATAGGGGCCAGTGGGGCAGACGACAGAATCCAATGATGATGGGAGAAAAACAAAAAACAAAAAAAACATACATAACCACAACCAAACCACCAACAACGCTCGTTCGTTCATCATTCATGGGCACCGCCTCGATAGCATACCGGCCCTTCTCAACAGAGGGTTGGACTTACTTGACGCGCGAGTACTTCGGTGTGGTACTGATCAGTAAAAGCACACAAAGAGAGAGGCACAGAGAGGGAGAGAAAAACGGGCACGACCTGCCCCGTGCATCATGCTTCCGAGGCACAGGACACAGGACACAGACAGCGGTTTATTGGTTTCGCCGCGATCTACGGCGGATGCTGTCGGAGATTGGTGTCGTGATGATTTCCAAGTGTATCGTGAAATGGTAATTTTCTATCCGGGTATACCCGTTTCTGGTTTGTTTCTCTTGTTTCAAGACCAGTAAAAAAAATGTAACCAGAAACGGGTAATATATATACCCGGGTACTTTGTCACCACTTTAGTGTACAGTTAGAAGTCAACACGCTTGCACCCCCAGGCTGTCAGCTGATTGGCCGAAAAACCGTTGCACCCATTTCTGCAGAAACCTCCATCGGGTACAACTTCCGCTGGAATTAGGACCCTCTGGTGTGACCAATATTGGTTACTGGTGTACCCGGAAGAGAGAGGTCGATTTTGCACACAGAAATGGTGATGTGATCCCGGCCCCCGACGCTCTAGCATCAACCTGCAGAAAAAACGTGTACCACACATACATACCGTGTACAGTAGTAGTAGTCGAATGAAACATGGATATTGGTCTGAGAAGCTGAAGCTCAAGCAAGCTTCAGTATATATATGCCGACCGTTCATTGTGAAAAATATTGAAACGCGGATGCATTGGACTGACAAACCGTCGTGGTGTGCGGCAACGAGCATGCAATGTCCGGGGTTCGTCTGTCGGTTCGGCGTGGCGACGAGGATATCTACGAATAAGTCATAGCAAACAGAGTAGCGTTTCTCAAAAACTGACAGAAGGTTTTCTTCCAAACTTGCGGGAGGGTCTAGCGGGGACAGGAGGAGGAACACGGCTTCGAACTCACTAGAAAATCTGTGGTTGAAATCTCGAGATCATCGACGGGAAAAAATCAGCTTGCTTTCAAAGAAGAAACAGGAGATGGCCAACTCTATCCCCAAGTGAACAACCAGGATGCGGCGCGACTTGGGCAAAAAAACTGGGGCACAGAAGCTGGGGTTAAAATCGAGTGTAGGCCTGAGAAAATTTCGGCAACAGAAACTGAACCTTTTCTCGATGCTTTCGAAATTTGTCATTACTATTTGCGTACCCCCTTTGCTCGCCAAGGGGGAGGGGAAAAGAGCGGAGACCAGGCAGGGCAACACCACACACGCCCCCGGTCTACTCCTTACGATCAGTATAAACATCAGCCACCCAACAGATGGCTCATAGGTTGGATTTTGTTTTGATATTTCTCGTGTTTCGGCGTTTTCTGATTTCTTGTCGCTTTTTCTAATACTCCAAATTTCTTGAGCAAAACACAAATTGGTGCGCCGCAACTGACAGTCCCGTTAAAAGAAATGTCAAACAAACATCTTCGATGCGCGCACAGCCACGACGAGCTACCAGCCTGGAGAGTACATTTGAGAGTGCAGTAGGCATCTTCGATGCTCACGGAGCCGTGAGCCACGAGCCTGAGAGTACCTCTGGGAACCGTTTGTCCAGCACGTGGTTCTATTCAAGGCGTAGTCTATTGTCAGTGATCCTAGAATCGCAAGATCCTCGGAATCCCCGATGGGACAATCTATCTTGACCCTACCCGTAAAACTTCTTGATGCAGAAACAGCAAGCAGCGTGGCAAACAGCAAGAGTTGTTGGGTTGACAAGTTGCTTGAATTACGGCCATAGTCTCTGGACGCCGATCCCGGAAGTCTCGTGGCAGCACGTCCGTTGGTTGGAGGTATTCGTTGTCGTCCATTTGCGGTGCCGCCCTACCCTGATGCCGTAGTTCTGCCAGCGAACTCCTGCTGCCCAATTCGAACAAGCGGAGCGGGTCGCCCTTCGAGGAGAGGTGCTGTCCTGGCTATCGATGTGTTTGGGGCCACTGCTGCTGCTTTCACAGGTAGTATGGTGCGTTCGGGCAAATATTCACAATCTTGTTTTTCGCGATATCTTTCGAAAAAAAACGATTTGGAAAGTGAAACAACTTTGGGCGAGACCGCGGCGTCGAGCTTCGTCGATATCCAATGAGTTTTTGGTGAATTGAGTGAAATGCGACATTTTTCTCGATGCTTTCGAAATTTTTCATTATTATTTGCGTACCCCCTTTGCTCGCCAAGGGGGAGGGGGAAAGAGCGGAGACCAGGCAGGGCAACACCACACACGCCCCCGGTCTACTCCTTACGATCAGTACAAACATCAGCCACCCAACAGACAGAGACATATAAACTCTGTCTGCCCCCCACAACCGCTGATAGGCTTGTTGGCGAAACACCCGGGCCACCAAAGAAAAAACCCATTTCTCGTCTCTCGCTACTCTCTGTTCCCCTGACCTTCCCATCGCACTGCAGAAAAATACGCATGTACCCGGACACCAGGACACCCACATATAAGCCATATTATATGTATGCGTATCCACTTATCAATCAGACTCGTCACGCACGTAACGGGGAAGCGCGTAGCACCAACATAGCCACACACAGCAGCCAGGAGTGCACTCCCCCAACCATGCAACGGTCCGATACACCCAACAACATGCGTCCTGCATATACTATACCACCTGAAGTGCGATGTACACCAATCCCACTCAAAATAAATGGGACGAGCACCTCGGAACTGCGCCCAGCATAGGCACACGCAACCCCGACTGCGGCTACACAGTGAGTCCCCCCCGACGGACACTCACCCTGAACACAACGCCGCTGCTCCTATTTCCATGTCCACTGACACCCCCAAAAGCAAGGGTGGGTGGGTGGGAAAAAGAAACGTCACAGCAGAAAACAACCCTTGGCCACCATACGCACACGTGCTCTCGCTCGCCCCCGGTAAACACGGCGAAGCGAGTATAGACTGAAAACAGAAAACCAACACGCTCGTCCGCTTCCTGCTTTCTGATTGGCCAAGGTTTATTTCTGCCGCTTCTCACAAAACGCAGATTTCCCTTACTTCGTCAGACAATCTTTCGCTTTTCTCGGATGCTTTCGAAATTTGCCATTATTATTTTGCGTACCCCCTTCGCTCGCCAAGGGGGAGGGGAAAAGAGCGGAGACCAGGCAGGGCAACACCACACACGCCCCCGGTCTACTCCTTACGATCAGTATAAACATCAGCCACCCAACAGACAGAGACACATAAACTCTGTCTGCCCCCAAACCTAAGGCTGGTGCGCCATACTGATCCGCCCCCCCCCCCCCTTTTATTTTGGCAAACCATGCACAACATATACCATATATGCAAAACATACGATATGTACAACGTCCAATATATGCGGCATACAATATGTACAGCAAAATACCATCGGTACAACAAGGATCTCGACATACACAACGTGCCACGGAACCCCTTCACACGTCACCCCATCGGGTACCTTGCCCTGGCTGTGTAGTCACCTTCTCCTTGTTCGCCAACACCTCTGACACCCACGAAGCGTCACCCCCAACATTCCGAACGTAACACTGGTGACTACTCTCCCCCGACCAACGCCCTTCTCTTCGGGGAACCTCCGGCGAAGCCCCCCGCGCCGCCAAGAAAGTTGCGCCCCCAATTCTCAGGGAGTGCAGCGCGTACTCCTCGGGCTGCAAACCCGCCAACGCAACCACTTGGCGAAGAGCCACAGTAGCTTGACACTTAGTCCACATGGCCCACTGGCCCTGACCAACACCGAAAGCCACGAGAGGCGCATGCGAAGGCAAAAAGGTATACAGAGAAAGCAGCTCCACCATGACATCCACTGCACCACCCCCTCGGTCAACCCCACAGCACGGACCTTGCCGTGTGCGCGTGCAAACCGCCCCCTTCCGAAACTGGTCCCCTTTCGACGAACGAAAACGTACCTCCACGCGATCGGCCAATGGCCACTGCGCCGACTGCAACAGCTGGACCGACCCCCGAAAAAAAACGCTGCGTCCCCCCGACGCAATCCATGAACTTCATGCATCACTCAGCGCAATAAACAAAACGCGCCCGCCTACCCCCCATTGCGATACCAGCGAACTCCCCCGTTGCAACATCGCCCAAGACACCGGCCGTCGCAACCGCTGCTGTGTGCCCACGTCGGCATGCCCCCGCGCCGCCCCACGTAAAGCACAACGCACCAGCGGATGCTGCGTATCAAGCTCCCCTTCACCCGACACACGATGGAAGAACTTAATAGCGGACAAATGACTGGCGATCGTCGATTGTTGTAGACCCAAAACGGAAAAACAATACGCGACGTACTCAAGCAATTGAGCAACGACATCACGCGTAACAACCTCGGCAGCAATAAAAACCGGCCGGTTCACCACGATCACACGATATTTCACCCAGGCTCCAAAAAGGCCCAGGTAAGTTCGTTCAGACGTTCGCGCAAGTGACTGGCGGACGAGACTGGCCCCAGTACGGCAGAGCACATCTCTTGCCCGGCTCGATTCAACTCCACTTCCTGCCATCGTACATGGGGGGCAGCGGCACAAAGGTTGTCGTACACATCAGCGGCGGGCCAGCGAGAAATACCATCAGCAAGCGAATTGAGCACACCAGGCACATGGGACGATTGGAAAAGCCACCCGCTAGACACTTCAATCGCCCCCAGCATCCGCATGAGCGCGCCTGACCGCGGCTCCTTGCCTCCGCGACACCGCTCAATCCATGCCACACTCGCTTCATTGTCTCCCCGCAACTGGATACAGTCACCAGCCGACACCGGCACATGACGCTGTTGCACAATCAACACCCATGCCGCCGCGACCATGCCGAGTAGCTCAAGAACATTGATACTGACATCGGCACACTCGGATACAGACTTGCTAGACCCCACAAAGCGGGACTGCTCGTCACACGTCTGATCACGCCGGAAATAACACACAGTTCGCACACAGTATGCTCCAAACGCCGTTTTGGAAGCATCGGCAAACACAGCCATTACCGGAGGACGAAGCACCACATTGTACATCGGTGCACACAACTGGCCGCCACGCGACGCCAGACCTCGCTGCACAAACCAGCGCCAAAAATCCAAATCATCGTGAAACATAGGCCCCAACACGACACGCCGATTGGGGTTGGAAACACACGAAAGAAACACCTCGGACTGCGGCATGCCGACGTCGGCCAACAGACAGCCGACGAAAAATTTGCCTGGACGCAAGGCAAAAGACACGTGAAGAAGAAAACCGGTCAATTCCGCGACGTGACGGGCGGTCGCACACCGACGCGACCGCGGCCACTCGCCCAACAAACGGTTTAATTTCTGTTGTTTTCGCAGAGGCATGGTCACTGTGAGAGTTTGCGTGTCTAAAATCCATCCCAACACCTCCAAACGCGTCGAAAAATCGGTGATTTTCTTTGCAGACAACAACGGAGGATCGTTTGGCCCCCGGTGTCCCAGCAGACGGAAATGGTCCGACGCGATCGACTGCACTGCACGTAGGCAACGACGACCATCCGTGAAAAACCGCGCCTCGACAAGCACACCGTCATCCACATAATACCGAACGAAAAACGCGGAACCAGCGAAACCGCCCTCCATAGAAATTTGGGCACAATCACGCGGTAACGATACGGGGAGGTTTTGGGGAGGAACAAGCTAAATATGATCAACCGCCGCAACTCCGTCAGGCAACACAGAAGCTGTCTGAAAAGTAGTGTGGGTGTGTGCATGCTCAAGAGCGGAACCAAACAGCGACCAAAAACCTGGGCTGGAACGCCAACCAAACTGGCAACGAAGGTCGATGACGACCACGTCCCCCATCGTGTATCCGAATACCGACGCCCTCGAAGGGTCGACCAACACTTGGCGAAAAGCCTCACGCACGTCAATACGGCAGAGCAAAATCTCGAGAGTCGGCCCGTGCAATTGGCGCAAAAAGAGGACGCGCGACAAGACATCGAAAAGTACATGTCCCAACAGACACTCGGGGGCACGATCAAAATCTGTATCTGCATTGACGCTAGACTGCGCACCAGCCGCTGTGAATGTGAGATCATGAATGATGCGGAATTTCGGATCGTCCACCACCCCAAGGGGGGAAACACGCACACCCAAAATTTCACGGATGAACTGCACGTCGAAGACGAGAGCACGACCTAACGTAACATCCGAAACGATCTTGTCAATGATCTGCGGAGTGTATGGTAAAATGCTGGAATGGTTGCCGTATTTTAATTCGGCGTCTAGACACCCCCCCGGCGCGACATCGACCGGCGCGCCAGGACACAACACGCGGAGGAGGTTGTCAATTTGCGGAAAACGTTTCGAGACCCCAAAAAATTCACGAACCGACGCAACATTGACATGGGGCGCAAAGAAGCCGGCACCACCGGCCGCCACGAGCACTTCAATACGCCCCCCACACTGTCTAAGCAAGGCGGAACCAGCGGAAGCCACCTCACTAAGACCCACACCCATATCGGAGGGTGGACACACCGCTGCCAAAGCAGACACACGAGATCGCCATTCGCAAAGTTCACGCGAACCCGCTATCGACCTAAACGAGACATCACCTGGTCGCAACGAAGAGACAGCCCCGGGCACACACGCCCCTCGACCGACACCCACGCCCGCCGCCGCCAACGCGGCGGCCCCAAGCGCTCTGGAACCCGGCCCCGCTGTCTGATCTACGCTCCCACACGACTGTGGAGTTGGCCCCGCCGAAAGGCAGAGCCCGTGTCCTCAGTTGCTGCCATCTCCCCGGCGAACGACCAACGCCGAGGAGCCGCTTCCGCCATCGGTCGCGGCGCCCGAGGCTCCCCCTCCACCCGAAGCGCGACCCCCACCGCCGCCGCCACCCTTGCCGCCCCCAGTCGCATGGCGGAACACGCAGGAGTCGCCCCACCTGCATGTTTGGGAGTCGCGATATTCGAAACACACTTTCGACCGGCGTTTGGAGTCCCCACCCGCGGAGCGGGAGTCCCCCCGCCGTCTCTTACCCCCACTCGATCCAGAAGACCCTCCACCACCCACAGTCCCGAAGATCCGTAGCGCAATGCTCCCGGACATGGAGAAGCCGTTGATGCCATCGAGCCGAGGAACCGGGGGGGGCCCAAAGCGCTCGAAAGACTCCGGCGGCACCGGCAAATTCTGCATCGGTAACATCCACAACATTACCGCATTTGCCCATTCCCGAAAATCGTCGTTAGGGAGGTCGGCGAAGGTCCCCCGCGACCCCCTCCCCTGAAAATCGCCCATATGACGGAGGGCTTGCATGCGCAGCGTACCCCGCGCCGAAAGCATGGCCTGCTCCATGGGCAGCAAGCGCGCCAGAGCTGCAGCGTTGTCCGCGGAGGTGGCAGAGAGACCAAATTTCAACACGTTAACGATCGCAGCACAGGTCAAATCGAAGTGGTCCGGGACTGACAGCTTACCGGAATTGCCAACGGGAAAGAAGTCGAGTACGTTCAGTCCGGACATGGTCCGAAGCTGCTGCAAAGTCTTGTCGGTGCCGGTAACGGTCCCCCCCATCATCGTTTGCAGGGTCTCTTTGTTGGGAACGTCAATTCCCCGCTTACCACGCAGCGCCCACATCAAACGTCCCGCACGCCAAGCAGAAGCGGTACTCTCGAATTCCGCTTTTGCGAAGCGACGCTGGCGATCAGCGTCCGACCCAGGAGCAGCAGCTGCACCAAGACCCGCACCGACCGCCACCGCGGCTCCCGCGCCATCAGCAGCATGCGGGCCGACCACGTGCGAACCCGCGCCCCCACCTTGGTTGTTCAGCAACTGCTGCAGGGATTGCTCCAAAGCCGATACTTTCGCAACGAGATTCTCGTTATCTTGCTGCAACATCACAAGCTGCAACGCACCCGGCGCCCCCGACGCCGCACCGGCACCCAGGTTGTTCCCCCCGGCCATCGTAGACGACCCACCGAGGCCCTCCACGGATAAACCAGCCATGCCGTCGGCCAGCCGTGCCTCGTCCCCGCCGACCGCCGACCCCGCCGCGGCTGCGGCCCCAGCTGCCGCTTCTTGCTGCTGACGTTGAAGTTGCTGCTGCTGCTGCTGCTGTTGCGGCTGCTGCTGCGGCGGCTGCTGTTGCTGCGGCGGCAGGTTCTGCTGGTCCTGGGCTGCCAATGCCATTGCGGCAGCCGCGCCCGCCACAGTGGCGGAGGGAGGGACACCGCCACCACCGCTGCTGCCGCCGCCGTCGGTGATCGAGGCATTCATGGACGTACGGATACCGTCGGCAGGCCCTTTTCCGAGATTTGGATGCGAATCCATGTCGCCCCGAACACAGGGGAAACGTAGACGCGAAACTTCTCCCGTCCAATACGTCACGCCACGAAACGTCACGTGCCAAAAAGAAACGCCACAGCAGAAAACAACCCTTGGCCACCACACGCACACGTGCTCTCGCTCGCCCCCGGTAAACACGGCGAAGCGAGTACAGACTGAAAACAGAACACCAACACGCTCGTCCGCTTCCTGCTTTCTGATTGGCCAAGGTTTATTTCTGCCGCTTCTCACAAAACGCAGATTTCCTTTACTTGGTCAGACAATCTTTCGCTTCTGTTCAGCTTCGGAGGGGGTTGGGGGCACCGCAGATATCTGACGTCATGGGGGTATTGCACCATCATTATGTTTGTTTCTTGTTGGTTGGGGGCGTTTCTTACTTACGTTGTGGCCGAGATTGAGCTATGTTTCTTGGCCCCCTTTTTTCTTTTTTCTTTTTTGCGTACAAAGTTGAGCCATTTTTCTTAATACGCTTTTTGTTAAAAAAAAAAACTGTTTATTTAGAGGGGGGGGCAAAACGGGCTCAAGTAAGTCTGTCTGTCCGTCTGTCTGTCTGTCTGTGACCAGCCTCGATATATATATTACCCACCAGGTTCCAGCCCATTTCACCATCTCGGCACCAAACTGCAATCTAAGACACAGACGACGTGTTCACAACAAACAAGTAATATTTTTTACCCGAGCTACCCCAACTGCTACTTTTTCAATCCGTGCTCAGTGCGTCGAAATAGCGCAGCCCCGGTACCCAACTTGAAGCAAGGAAGTTCTGGCCTCTTGCAACACCGAGAGGGGGCGCCGTTTGATTTTGAACCAAGCAAGACAGATAGCCTCGCACACCACACACACACACACCACACACACACAGAGCCAGAGAGCCAGACATGGACAAACAGGGAGAGGGAGACACAGACCACAGCGAGTGCGAGACGGTGGGAGAAGGGTGTGCCATACACTGCTGCTGCTGTTAGCTATCGGCGGAGGAAGCGAGAGGAGAGATCAGTTGCAGCAGCAGCAGCAGCCGCAGCAGCGGCCTCTCTCTCTCTTTCTTTCCGCGGAGAGGGGCACATGACACCAACAACACACAGACAGACGCTGCTACGCACCACCATTGGTGCGACATGTATGTACTGCTGTACGCCTCTCTACACTTTTGTGCGCGAAGGCCTAGAAGACTAGTGTGCGACCAGTGCCTCCCGTGCTAGCCTGGTTACCCATCGCACGCTTGAACGCTTTTGAGATTTCTCAATCAAAGCTCGAACCAACAAGCGAAGCACAACAACAACAGCAGGTAAGTGTGTTTTTGTTGTGGTTTCTTTTTGTTTTTTTTTGTTTTCTCCCATCATTGGACTCTCTCTGTCGTCTGCCCCTCTGGCCCCTATCCTCCACTTCTACCAGCTAGACGACCCAACCGGGGTCACATAGATAGGAGGAGGGCGTTGGACCCCGTCGTGCGGTTCGTGCCTGAGACATTTTTTTCGCGAGAAAGGTACATGCAGCAATTCCTTCCCTCGCGACTTATGAAGTCGGTCATGTTCTTCACTAATAACGAGCTTTCTTTGCAGCACGTCGCTTCCAACGGAGACAGACCAGGATTAAATTAGCGAGAAAAAACCCGCTCTGTCGGGACTCGAACCCATGACCTGGCCCTTAGCAGGCTGCGAGGCTACCCACTAGACCACCGGGGCGACCGGTTGTGAGCCCACTGTCTGACAGCTGTGTGTTCATGCATGCTTGAAGGGGATGGGTGGGGTATACCCCACCGAGTGCTTCTCGTTCTTCAGTACGTTCGTCGGTAGATTTTTCCTTGGATGCTGGTGCAGCCATGGGCTCGCGTTGTACTTCGAGTTGAGATGCGAGTACAGTGTGCAGCACAACACAACAAGCAACAAATACTTCTATAATGTTTTTCCACGCGCACTAAGTGTGCCACACGACAACATGATACTTATTAATAGTCCAATCTCCCAGCACAGGTAGGTGCCAAGAGCGTACCGTGACTTGGGTCCATATCGCTCGCCGACCAACAAACAGACAAAGTAAAGCTGTGTGTGTGTGGAGCTAGCCAAAGGTAGGTGCTGACGCTAGCTGGGTCATGTGACATATGTAAATATATGATAGGCTCTACATGAGCTCTGACGGCACATACTGCTGGAGGAGTGGGCGTCAGGGTGTCAGTCAGTGTTCCACGACCTTTCGAGTTGGCTACGGTATAAGGAAATATTATCTTAAAGTGAGATAGATATGGTTAAAAGGAATACTACTACTCTCTTACAGCGTAGCCAAAACGGTTTAACAGAAATACCGATTTAATAGAGCAAAATTGGCTTGTACCAACCCTCTCTTAAACCGCAGCCGCTACTACTGCATGTGGAAGGAAAATACACAACGTGATGACGGTCATGCAGATCTGTGCCGCGACCGACTGTGATGTGATAGGACTCCAAGAGACCCGACGAGCGGGACAAGGCGCGATTACACACGACGGGTACGTGATCATCTGGAGTGGTGCCCGTGCCGGCACCAAGGACAAGAGGGGCGTGCACGGTGTGGGCATAGCGAT